TGAAAGAATTCAAAAGGATTTAGTTCTTTCAAGGTCCTCTAAAAATCCTTAGAAAAAATCCTCTAATGATCCTGTAAAAATCCCTTAAAAAATTTTGGATTTTGCCACATAGACAGAGAGAGAACGATTATTGCTTTGAATGTTTGGAATAACTTGCAGCGGCATTGCATTTTCGGATTTCTTGTCATCACTAATAAAATTCCAAAATCAATGGAATCTCTCACAACAACAACAAGTTTGAAGACTCTGGGAGGGAGGGAGGTCTTTAGTATTAGTTTACCATGGGGGTAGCATCACCGCTATGCCGACAGTGAGCAGGCGAGTAGCTTAACAAACTATAATCACCATCAAAAGCTAAAAAATGCGCGAGCGATTTTTTTTTCAATTTTTTTGCGTTGTTGTTTATTTTGAGTGTGGAATGGTGAGCGACCACCAACAACCGGTTAGTCCATCCATCCATACTTTTTCCTTACCAGTGTTTTGCTGGTTCTTCTGCAACAACTCAAGAATGTTTGGGGCAACATTGTTGTGCCTCTCTGCTGCTGCTGCTGATGGTTTGTTGTTTTTGACCTCCCCAGCAAGCCAGCCATTATGGTCTGGACGAGATGGGGACTGTTGGCCTCGTCTGGCCTTCTAATGCACGCACCGTACAAAAACATGTTTTTTTTTGTTATTGTTGTTAGTCCTCTCAAAGTCTGTCCGTCTGTCTGTCGTCACATTGTTGGTTCAATGCACGTCGCTGTACGTTGTGGCGGAATTTTTTCTGTTTTTCATTCTTTTTGTTTTTTTTTTTTTGGAGAGTCAAGACAATTTTCTGGTTTAGAATTCTTGGAATATTTTATGCCGCACACAAGCAACCTCTGAAAATGGTCATTGGACAAGAAACCGCTTCTTAAACGACATTCTTTCTTGTGTAGCCGCCACTATTATCATGGGCAGCGTCATCTCATCATCAGCAGCATCGGAATCTTCCAAAAAATGTGGACATACAATAAAACAGCGTAAACGAGGTTCATCTTTGTTTTTTTTTTTTTAATATTTTTATCTGGAAAATTATTTTCAACTTTCAAAGAAGTGAGGGGAGGTCTTTCCCTTCTTCTAAAAATATTCTGGCAAGAAAGCTTTGAAAAAATATTTTTTAAAACCCCCAATTTATGGATCGTCCTTGAAAAATTAATTTTTAAAAATCCAAGTTTATAGAAGGTCCTTGAAAAAATAATTTTTAAAAATCCCCTTTTATAGAAGGTCCTTGAAAAAAAAAAAAATTGTAAACCCCACGTTTAAAGATGGTCATTGAAAAAATATTTTTTTAAAAATCCACGTTTATAGGTCGTCCTTGAAAAAATATTTCCCTTTAAATAATATTTTTTAAAAATCCACTTTAATAGAAGGTCCTTGAAAATATGATTTTTAAAAATCGACATTTTTAGAGAGTCCTTGAAAAAAAAAATCTTTAAAAACCCCACGTTTAAAGATCGTCTTTCAAAAAATATTTTTTTAAAAATCCACGTTTATAGGTGGTCCTTGAAAAAATATTTCCCTTTAAATATTATTTTTTTAAAAATCCACGTTTATAGGTGGTCCTTGAAAAAATATTTCCCTTTAAATAATATTTTTTTAAAAATCCACGTTTATAGGTGGTCCTTGAAAAAATATTTCCCTTTAAATAATATTTTTTTAAAAATCCACGTTTATAGATGGTCGTTGAAAAACTATTTTTTAAAAATCCACGTTCATAGATGGTCGTTGAAAAACTATTTTTTAAAAATCCACGTTTAAAGATGACCCTTTAAAAATATTTTTTAAAAATCCACGTTTTGGATAGTCGTTGAAAAAATATTTTTTAAAAATCCACGTTTTGGATAGTCGTTGAAAAAATATTTTTTAAAAATCCACGTTCATAGATGGTCGTTGAAAAAATATTTTTTAAAAATCCACGTTTGTAGATGGTCGTTGAAAAAATATTTTTTAAAAATCCACGTTTTGGATAGTCGTTGAAAAAATATTTTTTAAAAATCCACGTTTATAGATGGTCGTTGAAAAAATATTTTTTAAAAATCCACGTTTATTGATGGTTGTTGAAAAAATATATTTTTAAAAATCCACGTTTATAGATGGTCGTTGAAAAAATATTTTTTAAAAATCCACGTCTATTGATGGTTGTTGAAAAAATATTTTTTTAAAAATCTACGTTTATGGATCGTCCTTGAAAAAATAATTTTTAAAAATCCACGTTTATTGATGGTCCTTGAAAAAATATTTTTTTTTAAAATCCACGTTTATAGATGGTTCTTGAATTTTTTTTTTAAATCAACGTTTATTAGTTGGTCCTTGAAAAAATATTTTTTAAGATCCAACTCTTGGATTTTTCTTGAAACATCGATGTTTTTCTTTTCGGTGCCCGATGTGGTTTTCTGCCTTATTTATGCATTGAAGTAGATTTGAATTACGACTAAAAATGTTTAAAAACATGTAAAAAGGACTTTGCTTCTTAAGGATTAGCGACCAACGTGAGGGTTCCCAATGACAATTTATGAACGTAGATTTTTATTAATTCGAATTAATGAGTGAAAAAACATCTTCCCCACATTGGGCGCCATATTCAAAGTTCTTTTTAAGTGCTTTAAAATTTCAAAATTCGGATGCCATCGGATGCCAAAATAAAAAAATAGTTTAAATTGAATGAATTGGGCGCCATTTTAAACTAATTTCGCAACCGAAATCCTTTAAAGTCCAATAGATTTTTTGGTTTTTGGCGCCCGTTGCTGGTAATTCTGTTCTTGTCTTTTCAAAAATATTAGCAATAGCCAATATTTCCACAATTTTCAAATTTTTAAAGGTTCTCTTTACTGCCTGTTACGCTACCTGAGGTCTGGTACTTAAAAATTTTTATATTTTTGGAACCAAACATGTGGTGTTTTCGGCATTTCTTGGTAAAATTTTAAGGATGGAGGGAAGACTCCAAGAATGTTTTTAATAAAGAAATTAAGATTTTATATTTAAAAGTATAAGACTTGGCCCTGTTTTTCAGATATTTGTTTTCTGGCGGCCAACGTGTTGACGCCTTTGGTTTCATACCCCGTTTCTTTTATTTGGGTAAAGGGCCGAGGTATTTTTTTATTAAATGTTAAGGAATCCTTAGAATAGACATTTTGCATATTTTTACATTTTTTTTTGAATTTTCCCAATTTTGTTATTATTTATTTTTGTTATCCGCCCAAAGTGGGTCGTGTTTGTCACATGTACTTGTCTTTTGATCGTGATTTTCAATATTTTTTTAATAAATTTTTTATTTTCCATTTTCCCCCAATGTTTATTTGAATTAGCGAGGACGGTGATGTTATTCCTTTTCCCTGATTTTCCACGTGGCGCCCAAGGTTTTTTACACCTTTTCCCAGAGTTTAGTCCATGATTAGTACTATTTCCATGTTTTTTTTAATATTTGTTTGTGGCGCCCAACGAGGGGTCTTTGTGTTTTTTACTAACTTTCGCATGCATTAGTCCATGACCTCCATGATAAGGAAAATAAAGAAATCCTTAAGACATAGATTTGCCCATTTCCAAGTTTTTGTTTCTATTTGGATATGTGTTGCCCAACGAGGGGTTTCCTTGGGGGCTTTTATTCCTCTTTCCTCTTTAGCATGAAAAAAGAATGAGGAATCCTTTAGATATCGATTTGCCTATTTCAAAGAGAAGCTGCCTCTGGAGTTTTCTCAGTATTGAAAAAAATGGAGGAATTCTTAAAGTATAGATTTGCCTATTTCCATGTTTATTTGAAATATTTGTTTATGGCGCCCAACGAGGACCCCTTGGTTTTTGTACTCCTTTCCTCAGAGATTAATCCAGAACCTCATTATAAAAGCAAATTGAGAAATGCTTGATATCGATTTGTGTATTTCCATGTTTTTTATTCTTATTCGGATATTTATTTATGGCGTCCAACGAGGAGGTTTACCAAGGGTTTAGTCCACGACCAGTATTAAAAAAATTAAGAATCCTTAAGATATAGATTTGCCTATTTCAAAGATTATTTTTTCCATATTTATATGTGGCGCCCAACGAGGAGCCTTCTTCAGGCTTTTTTAATCCTTCTTCCAGGGGTGAGCCCATGACCTCAATATTTAAAACAATTGGGAAATCCTTAAAATATACATTTTCCAAATTCTGTTATTTGGAGATTTATTTGTGGTGCCCAACTTGGGGGGTCGCTATGGGGGTTTAAATATTTAAAAATTTATTTTTTTCGTATATATATAATGGCGCCCAAGCTGGGTTGTCGAAATTTCTTGCCATTGTTTTGTTTTTTTAAATATAAATTCTTTTAATATAAGTTTCAAATGTTTTCCGTAGCCCCATGGCCTCAATATTTAAGACAATTGAAAAATCCTTAAAATATACATTTTCCAAATTCTGTTATTTGGATATTTATTTGTGGCGCCCAACGTGTGGGTTTGGCTTGGGTGTTTATACTTCTATTGCTCTCTTGGTTTGTTTTTATTCTTTTAAATGCAATAGCAGTTATTTATGTTTTCCCTTGTTCTTCTTGTTGTTTTTGTTGTTGTATTCTCGCATTTTGCGGACATGAAGCATATTTATGTGCGCTAGAGTTTCGAGTTTTAGTACCTTTTTTTTAATACGTTGTAATTGCATTTTTATGGGTTTTCTTCCAGTTGCAAGTTGTTGTTGCTGTTGTTACTGTTTTGCTCTCGTTATTTTTGGGTTGTTTGGTGGCAAAGGGGACAGGGGAGGTGTTGTCGTTTGGCCACTTTCCGTGTTAAGTTGCCTGTGCTTTTGAGGTAGTAGTGGGTATCGCAGCTCCCTATCACTGATGTTTTTGTTGCTTGTTTTTATTGCCGTAGTTGAGTGTAATTTTCATTTTAATGTTTTCATATTTATTTATTGTTTGTTTTTTGTTGTTGTTGTTTTTCTGTTTATGTTTTTAGTTTGCTTTTTTTAATGTTTTGTCTCACCCTCGTTTCTTTGGCTTTTTTTCTTTGCAGAAACTATCAACATAGCCTGCCTGCCTAGCAGCCCCAGCCCCCGCTCTCAACCTAGCACGTCGTAATTGGAGATATTAGATACTAGATATTCTACTACGCGTGAATCTGCCTGACTGACGCTATAGACAACAACAACTTCAAGAAATGTTGTTGTTGGGTTGTAACTAAAATCCAGTCAAGAATCCAGAAAAACGTAGTAAAACCCATTCGGCTCTCAACAAAAGGGGGGAGAAGAATGAGAAGCTGGAAACAAGAAATAATGTTTTGTTGAGGCATAATAACAAAGCACGCAAAACCACAATAAAAACAACAACAACAATCCTTTTTTCTTGGAGAGACCACTCTGGAAAAAAATAAAGACGAAGGAAAAGAAGTCTATTTTGAAAAGAATTACAACAATCCCCTCATCTCGGCAGTGGAGAACTTGGAAATCTTAAAACAAGAAGCGTTTGAGAAATCGGAAATTGTTTTTAAATCTACAAATTTTCCTTTACCACACTCTACTCTCCTTATTCTATTTCCCCACTTCCAAGACCAACTACAAAACATTTTCCAAAATAGTCCGCAGCATATTATCTCCTCCACCCAACTTTCTGGGCTGACAAAAACAGATTCAAATATAACCAAGCGTTTCTTCATAGATTCTGAAAAAGCGACAGAGAGAGAGAGAGAGAGAGAGAACCTGGGAAGTGAGGAAGAAAAATATTGCAACCTCAAACCAAGTACCATCTGCAGCCAATTTCGAAAAGGAGCTATTCGACCCAAGGGGAAACAACTCACCGAAGTAATTCCTATCATCAACGTCGTCGTCCTTCTTCCTCCAGTAGTGTCTTATATTTTGTAGAATAAATATCAAGGGTATGTAACAGAACATAATTACCATTTTTTTTATTAGATTTTTCTTGAGGGTAAGATGGTGGAACTTTCTTGGTTCCACATTTGTACATCTCATTGTAAACATACAAGCAAACACACACTTAAATATTCTTACATACATGCATACATCCATAAATTATAATCTGTAATATAAAAAATCTTTTTTTTGGTATGAGTGTATAGTGGCGCCCAAGCTGGGGATGTCGAAATTTCTTAATTTTGTTGATATTTTTTTTTATTCAGATATTATATTTTTCAGTTATCTTGAAAAAAAATCTAATCTATTCCGTAGCCTTGAAAATCCATTGTGAGAACTTTAAGAATTCATCTGGCGCCCAATGCAGGGCTCACATGTTATTTGTTTTTCGTTCCCAACACTGTTATATCTTCATATTAACATATTTTTAGATTATAATCTAGAAAATCTTTCAATTTCACTCATTTAAATATTTGTTATAAAGATGGGAAATGGCGGACCACTCCTTGTGGTACCTGCCCCACAAGGTAGGCATCATTTTGATTAACCAAAACGCTTATAAAATGCGTAAAAAGCATCCGATTCTTTTCAAACTTCACACATTCCAATATTTCTATCAACACAAGACTTGGTGTGAAGATGGGTTGTATCGGCCCTCCCCTTCTGGTACCTCCCACACAAAGGGACCAAAATTTTGAATAACCAAAACGCTCATAAAATGCGAAATGAGCATTCGATTCTTTCTAAACTTGGTACATCCCAATATTTCTATCAACACAAGATCTGCTGTGAAGATTGTGGATATCGGCCCACTCCTTCTAGTACCTTCCCCACAAAGAGGTACAAATTTTGGATATCCAAAACGCTCATAACATGCGTAATAAGCATCCGATTCTTTTAAAATTTTACACAACCAAATATTTCCATCGACACAAGATCTGGTATGAAGATGGGACAACTCGGACCAGTTCTTCTCGTACCTCCTCCACAAAGAGGTCAAAATTTTGAATATTCTAATCGCTCATAAAATACGAAATGAGTATCCGATGCTTTTCAAACTTCACACATGCCAATATTTTTAGCAACACAAGATATGGTGTGAAGATGGTAGATATCGGCCCACTCCTTCTGGTACCTCCCCCACAAAGGGGTCAAAATTTTGAATATTCTAATCGCTCATAAAATGTGTAATAAACATCCGATTCTTTTAAAATTTTACACAACCGAATATTTCTACCAATGCAATATCTGGTGTTAAGATGGTAGATATCGCCCCACTCCTTCTGGTACCTCCCCCACAAAGGGGTCAAAATTTTTAATAACCAGAACGCTAATAAAATGCAAAGTAATCACCCAATTATTTCGAAACTTCACACATGCAAATATTTTCAGCAACGCAAGGTCTGGTGTGAAAATGGTAGATATCGGTCCACTCCTTCTTGTATCTCCCCCACAAAGAGGTCAACATTTTGAATAATTATATCGCTCATAGAATGTGAAATAATCATCCGATTCTCTTAAAATTTTACACAATCAAATATTTCCATCGACACAAGATGTGGTATAAAAATGGGACCACTCGGACCAGTCCTTCTGGTACCTTCCCCACAAAGGGGTCAAAATGTGTAATATCAGCCCAAATGGGATGGAATTTGACACATGCAACCACATTAGGCCTGAAAATAAGTATGCCAAAGTTGATCGAAATCGATTCAGGATTAGCTATAGCTCCTATATATATTGTACATCCGATTTGTTATTTTTCTCCTCCGCAGCCGTAATATGCACTCTGTAACAACAATATTTGGGGAAGGGAAATATATCAAATACAGGTCAGAAATACCTTTGCCAAATTTTATCGAGATCGGTTCAGATTTGGATATAGCTCCCATATATATATTCGTCCGACTTGCCTTTATTTGTGAACAAAATGTGTAATATCAGCCCAAATGGGATGGAATTTGACACATGCAACCACATTAGGCCTGAAAATAAGTATGCCAAATTTGATCGAAATCGATTCAGGTTTAGCTATAGCTCCTATATATATTGTACATCCGATTTGTTATTTTTCTCCTCCACAGCCGTAATATGCACTCTGTAACAACGACATTCAGGGAAATATATCAAATACAGGTCAGAAATACCTTTGCCAAATTTTATCGAGATCAGTTCAGATTTGGATATAGCTCCCATATATATCTTCGTCCGATTTGCCTTTTATTGTGCACCAAGGATGTAATATTAGCCCAAATTGGATGGAATTTGGCACATGCTACCAAATTAGCCCTGAAAATAAGTATGCCAAATTTGATCGAAATCGGTTCAGATGTAGGTGTAGCTCCCATATATAATGTTCATCCGATTTGTTATTTTTCTCCTCCGCAACTGTATTATGCCTTCTGTAACAGGGTATTTGGGGAAATATATCAAATTCAGCTCAGAAATACCTTTGCCAACTTTTATGGAGATCGGTTAAGATTTGGATATATAGCCCCCATATATATCTTCGTCCGATTTTCCTTTTATTGTGCACCAAATGTGTAATATTAGCCCAAATGGGATGGAATTTGGCATTTAAGATCAAATTGAGACTAGAAACAAGTATGCCAAATTTGGTGAAAATCGGTTCAGAGCAGGATATTCCTCTCATATATTACTTTGTTTGGACTTTAAATTTTTTTCCAATTTTTTTTTTTGTTTTTGCTTTCCATTTTTTTTTAAATTATAGCCTCCATATATTTCCATACATATTATTTCACACAACATCACCATTGAAATTTATTGACATTGTTGTGACTGACTGATCATCACCATCATCCTTCTGGCTGGCGGCGTTTGGCGCATTGGTCACTAACCAAGCGTGTTATCATCTTCACACTTGTCATATAGTAAGTATTTGACGCCTGTGCTCTGTTTCATATTTACATGGAACGGAGACGAAAACAAATGTAGAATAACTGCCAATAATTGTGGCGGTTAAAGTGTCACTTGCTGCAATTTATGATGGTTGTATACTACCACCAATCTCTCTCCATGGGTATCATTCCAAATTACTTTATTTGTTCCTGCTTCTTTTGCCACTGAACCATGTTCATCTTCTCAGCGAGACAACAAGAAGTGGCGCTTATTAAAATCATGTCTTCTTTCTTGTTTTTGATTATTGATTGTCGTTTTTTATTTGCTTGCTGGCGTCAAGTAATTTTGTGTGGCTCGTTATTTCTTGCCGATTTTTTTTTTCTTGAAGAAAAAAAGTCCGATTACCCTGAGGGAAAAGTTTTGCATTTTTTTTTTTTTTTGGTTTTGATTTTTGTTTTTATTTTATTAATTCTTTGAAGAATTGTGGCGCTTCGTGTTCTGTTGCTTTATCTCTGTTGGCCCATTGCAACACGTGTGAATCTGCTGATTTTTATTGAGATGATGATGGACGGACGGTCTCTCCTTGGCGTAGTCGCCGCCGTCTTATCTATTGAATTAATGCGTTTTGGTTTTAGTTTAAGAGATTTTCAATTTTTTTTTCAATATTTCTTGTTGGTAATCACTTTGATTTTGTGCATCGATTTTGAATGATTATATCGCTCATAAAATGTGAAATAAGCATCCAATTCTCTTAAAATTTTACACAACCAAATATTTCGATCGACACAAGATCTGGTATGAAGATGGGGCCACTCGGACCAGTCTTTCTGGTACCCTCCCTACAAAGGGGTCGAAATTTTTTAATAAACAAAACGCTCATAACATACGAAATGAGCATCCAATTATTTTCAAGCTTCGCACATTCCAATATTTCTATCTACAGAATATCTGGTGTGAAGATGGGTTATATCGATCCACCCTTTGTGGTACCTCCCCCACAAAGGGGTCAAAATTTTGAATAACCAGAACGCTAATAAAATGCGAAATAATCACCCAATTATTTCGAAACTTCACACATGCCAATATTTTTAGCAACACAAGATGTGGCGTAAAGATGGTAGATATCGGCCCACTCCTTCTGGTACCTACCCCACAAAGGGGGAATTTTCTAATCGCTCATAAAATACGAAATGAGTATCAAATTCTTTTCAAACCTCACACATTCCAATATTACTATCAACACAAGGTCCGGTGTGAAAATGATAGATATCGGTTCACTCCTTCTGGTACCTCCCCCACAAAGGGGTCCAAATTTTGAATAACCAAAACGCCCATAAAACCACAAAGTGGTCAAATTTTTGAATAACCAAAACGCTAAAAATAAAAAATACGAAATAAACATCAAATTTTTTTGTGAGAAAATGGTGTGAGAAAATCTTTAGCTCATTTCAAAAATTTGTAATCCTAGTACTCGTCGAAACCTAAAAGTGGTTTATATATATTCAAGATCCATAAATGATTTTTTTTTTTTTTTTGTTCTGAAAGGGGTTATCTCTTCTCAGCTGTTCTTCTATCTATGTAGGATATCTGTGAAAGCCCTTTCTCTCTCTAGGACAACTGTGAGAAGTCGTCTTCTCTGTGAGGCTAAGGTGTTTGTAATGTTTGATCTACAGAACAATTTTTGAAGGTTTTCTTCTGCACAATATATTGGGGTTTCTTAAATTGAAGACATTTCCAAGATACTCACATAAAAGTTCATAAAATATTTTTTTGGTCTGAAATTCAAAGTCTATAAATGTTTTTTTTTTTTTGTTCTGAAAGCAATTTTCTTTTCTCAGCTCTCCTATCTATGTAGGATATCTGTGAAGGCTCTTCGCTCTCTAGGACAACTGTGGGAAGTCGTCTTCTCTATGAGAATGACGTGTTTGTTATAATTGATCTATAGAAGAATTTTTGAAGGTTTTCTTAGGCACTATATATTGGGGTTTCTTTAATTGAAGACCTTTTCAAAAAAACTCCCATAAAAATTCATACAAGATTTTTTGATCTGAAAGGGGGTTTCCCTTCTCAGCTCTTCTTCTATCTATGTTGGATATCTGTGTAAGCTCTTCTCTCTCTAGGACAATTGTGGGAAGTCATCTTCTTTATGAGGCTGATGTGCTTGCAATATTTATGCCCTCAGCCGTCAAATGGCTACAGAGGGTATATATCATTTGATACGGCTAAAACGTGTCTCATCGAAATAACGGTTGTAAACCCTAGATTTCTGTGGGCCAAATCCGTTTTAAGACATTTGGAGACGATCTAACGATGTCCGCCCGTCCTTCCGTCTGTCTATCTGCTGGCTGGTGCCCACGATAACTCTCATAGGGGGTATCCAATTTGATTCAAACCTGCTACATCGAAATACTATTATCAAACATAAATCGAGTACGGAGATGGGCAATATCGGGCCAACCTTTCTGGTACCTCACCCACAAAGGATTGAAATTAAAAAAAATTATGTTTCTGCACAGAAGGGGATAGGATTATCCAATATTGCTACAACTTTGCAAATCCTAATATTTGCATCAGTGCTAGGTCGGGTGAGAAAATTGACAATATCGGTCCACTTCTTCTGGTACCTCCTCCACAAAGGGCCAACATTTAGAATAGCTATTACTCTAATAAAATTTAACATAAGACTACGATTGTCTTCAAATTTCAAATTTCACATCACATTATTTTTATTGACCCAAGGTCTGCTGTAAAGATGGGATGTGTCGGTCCACTCCTTGCGGTACCTACCCCACAAATGGTCAAAATTTTGAATATCTACGGAGCTCATAAAACGCGAAATGTACAACCGATTCCTTTCATACTTGGCACATCTCAATATTTCCATCAACACAAGATCTGTTATAAAAATGGTACAGGTCGGACCATTCCTTCTGGTACCTCTCCCACAAAGGATCAAAATTTTGAATATTCATGGAGCTCATAAAACGCGAAATTAAAATCCAATTGCATTCAGACTTGGTACATCTCAATATTTCTATCAACAGAAGATGTGTTATAAAAATGGTACAGATCGGACCATTTCTTCTGGTACCTGCCCCACAAAGGGTCAACATTTTAAATAACCAAAACGATCGTAAATTCCGAAATAGGCTTTCGATTGTCTTCAAATTACACACATTTCAATATTTCTATCAACACAAGATCTGCTGTAAAGATGGGATATGTTGGTCCACTCCTTCTGGTACCTCCCCCACAAAGGGGCCAAAATTTTGAATATCCATGAAGCTCATAACACGCGAAATTTACATCCGATTCCATTACAGACTTGGTACATCTCAATATTTCTATCAACAGAAGATCTGTTATAAAGATGTTAGAGATCGGACAACTCCTTCTGGTACCTCCCCCACAAATGGTCAAAATTTTGAATATCCATAAAGCTCATAAAACGCGAAATTAACATGCGATTCCACTCAGACGTGGCACATGTCAATATTTCCATAAACACAAGATGTGTTATAAAGATGGTAGAGATCGGATAACTCCTTCTGGTACCTCCCCCACAAAGGCTCAAAGTTTTAAATAACAAAACGATTATAAAAGCCGAATTAAGCATCCGGTTCTCTTCATATTTCACACATCCCATTATTTCTACTAACACAAGATCTGTTGTAAAGATGGTAGAGATCGGACCATTCTTTCTGGTACCTCCCCCATAAAGGGTAACAATTTTGAATATAAACCAAACTCATAAAACTCGAAATTAACATCAGATTACAGTCAGAGATGGTACATCTCAATATTTCCATCAATACAAGATCTGTTATAAATATGGTATAGATCGGACCATTTCTTCAGGTACCTCCCCCCCAAAGGGTCATAGTTTTAAATAACCGAAACTATTATAAAATTCGAAATCAGCATCCGGTTCTTATTATATTTCATACATCACTATATTTTTAAGGTCTGGTGTGAATATGGAATATATCGGTCCACTCCTTCTGGTACCTCCCCCACAAAGGGTCAAGAATTTTGAATATCCATAAGATTTTCGAAGACCAATAGAAAATTGTCTATTTTTTAACTTATGGAGGGTATTTTTTCTAGAAGACCATTATTTAGAACAACTTCTGACCAAAAAGGTTTTGTTTTATGAAAAACGTTTATCAACAGAATAGACAGCATTCAGTACCTACAATTTTTTAAAGAAGGTCTTTAATCATTGAATCGTTCTGGGTCTCTGATAAAAGATTGTGACTTCTTCTGGCTACAAAATACCTTTTGTTGTATATATTTTACCAATAAGTGAGCTATGGTTTTCTTTTCCTCCAAATAGTCTTCTTGAGGTTGAAGATCTCTAAAAATGTTTTGATATTCTCTCAATAATTTAATTGCATTTGATATAGCTTCTATGGTCTTCTTTTTCTCCACATAGTAGTTAATCATTTAAAAATCTCTAAAAAAGTTTTGATATTCTCTCAATTACTCAATTGCATTTGAAATCCCTTCTATGGTCTTCTTTTCCTCCCAAATCGTAGTAGTTTACCTTTTGAAAATCTCTGAAAACGCTTTTGAAATTCAATCTCTCTCAATTACTTAATTTTATTGCAATGTGTCATCATCTTTTATTTCGTTATTTTTCTTTCAGAATCCCCAAGAGTAAATAGCCAAAAAATGAAATATAACAACAAAGAAAGAACGAAAGAATGATGTTCAAAGACCTCTGGACCTCCAAAAAAAAAAAAAAAAAAAAAAAAAAAAAATCAGACAGCGTTCAATGATCTCTATGGGGATTTGAAAACTTGATAAAACAGACAAGAAACACCGTTGAGCAAATCTTATCTGTAAAACTTATTCTGCAATAATATTTTTAACAACAATATATTTTTCATGGGCGTGACTAAACCACTCTCTTTTTTCTCCCATCTGCAGGTGAGGTAAAATTAGGAATGAAGAAATACGAATTGCGTCAAATCCGGTCGAGCCGATATTTTAATACCCTACATTCCACCAGGAGGAAAACTTAAGTAATTCAGAAATCGCTGGGAGAATGGGGCTAAACAACTTCGACAATCCTAAAATCAACAGAACCTAAGAATCTATTTCTAATATCTTTGCAAAATGGTCTTTCTCTACTCGTTAAGAATCAGGGATACCAAAAATAAACTGTCTCTGCCCCTCAAAAACGAGGAAAACTTAAGTAACTCAGAAATCTCTGGGAGAATGAGGCTATGGACCTTCAAAAAACCTTTAATCAAGAAAATCTATGACTCCTGTATCTATTTCGAATATCTTTGCAAAATAGTCTTCCGAAAAGGCAGAAAGAAAAAACGGTGTTGTTTTAAACCCCTAAAACTCTTAGATGAAATTTTCCATACCCACCCTTCATCATGAGAAAAAACTTTAGTAATTCAGAAATCGCTGGGAGAATGAGGCTAAGGACCTTCAACAAACCTAAAATCAACAAAACCTTAGGCTCCTGAATCTATTTCGAATATCTTTGCAAAATGGTCTTCCTCTACTTGTAACGAATACCAAAAATAAACTGTCTAAGGAAGGAAGAACCTTTACCATACCCAAAAATATGGGACTATATTCAAGCCACTGTGCTGTGAGTAAAACTTCAGAAATCGCTGGGAAAATGAGGTTAAGGACCTTCAACAAACCTAAAATCAATAAAACCTAAGACAGCTGTACCAATTTTTCGAATATCTTTGGAAAGTACTGCTCCTCTACTCGTTACGAATCTCTTTTTTCCCTCTGTAGTTGAGGCAAAATTGGGCGAAAAGAAAATATAGCTGGGTCCGAGTCGAAATTTTTAATATCCTCCCCTATAAGGAGATTCAAGTCATAAATCAACTCAGAAATCGCTGGGAGAATGAGGCTAAGCAACTTCAACAAACCTAGAATCAAGAAAATCCAATACTCCCACATCAATTTCGAATATCTTTGCAAAATAGACTTTCTCTACTCCTTACGAATCAGGAATACCAAAAATAAACTGTCTACGGAAGGACTCTACCAAGTCACTGTGCTATGAGGAAAACTTCAGAAATCGCTGGGAAAATGAGGCTAAAGGACTGCCATCAAACGTAAAATCAATTAAACCCAAGACACCTATACCAATTTCGAATATCTTTGCAAAAGAGTGCTCCTCTACTCGTTACGAATCTCTTTTTTTCCTCAGCAGTTGAGGCAAAATTGGGCGAAAAGAAAATGGAACTGCGTCCAAGCCGAGATTTTTAATAACCTCTTCTATAAGAAAAAATGAAGTCATTCAGAAATCGCTGGGAAAATGAGGCAAAGCAATTTCAACAAACCTTAAATCAATAAAACCTAAGACACTTATACCAATTTTGAATATCTTTGCAAAATAATGCTCCTCTACTCGTTACGAATCTCTTTTTTCCTTGTGCCAAAAGAAAATAGGACTGGGTCCGAGTCGAAATTTTTAATACCCTCTCCTATAAGTCACTCAGAAATCGTTGGCTAAGTAACTTAAAAAAAATGTGCACCTATGGTCTATCCACTGTGCCCCAAATATTTTGAGTACCACAAGCTAAGGTATAAATTGGAAATTTTAGATAACCTGTTTCTAAGGACTCCAACTCCAGAAGTCTGAGATTACCGATAGCTTGGTAATACATTCAAATCCATACACAATTTTGAATATATTTTGCAAAATGGTATCTTCTTCCTGTTTCGAATCAGAAATATCAAGTTATTCTCGATTTGAACACGTACTCTCTCGGATTTATTTCAAATTTCGTATTTGAAGTTCGTAATGGGTACTTCAGCCTATGACAAAAACATTAGTTTGCAGATCCACGTCTTCGTGGGCGACACCTCCCGATATTCGGTATTTTGGTGATTTTAGCGACATTTTTCACCGGAATTATTTCAAATTTCATATTTGAAGTTCGTAATGGGTACTGCAGCCTATGCCAAAAAATGTTGTTTGCCGGCCCACGTCTTCGTATAGCTTCCATACAAAGGTACCTCCCGATTTTCGGTATTTTGATGTTTTCAGCGACATTATTCACTGGAACTGTTTCAAATTTCGTAATTGGAGTTCGTATTGGGTACTACAGTCTATGACCAAAAATTTCGTATGCAGGTCCACGTCTTCTTATAGCGCCCATATAATGGTACATTCCGATATTCGATATTTTAATGATTTTAGCGACATTTTGTAACGGAATCGTTTCAAATTTTGTATTTGAAGTACGTTATGAGTACTACACCCTATGACAAAAAATTCGTTTGCAGGTCCACGTTTTAGTATAGCCCCCATATAACCGTACTTCCCAATATTCGGTATTTTGATGATTTCAGCGACATTATTAACCGGAATTGTTCGTAATGTGTACTACAGTCTATGACCAAAAATTTCGCATGCAGGACCACGTCTTCTTATAGCCCCCATATAACGGTACCTCCCGATATTCGGTATTTTCATGATTTCAGCGACATTATTCACCGGAAATGTTTAAAATTTGGTATTTGAAGTTCGTAATCGGTACTACAGCCTATGACAAAAAATTTCGTTTGCTGGTCCACGTCTTCATATATCCCTCATATAACGGTACCTCCTGATATTCGGTGTTTTGATGATTTTAGCGACATTATTTACCGGAATCGTTTCAAAGTTTGTATTGGAAGATCTTAATGGGTACTACAACCAGTGGCAAAAAATTTCGTATGCAGGATCACGTCTTCGTATAGCCCCCATATAACGGTACCTCCCGATATTCGATATTTTCATATTTTTAACGACATTGTTTACCGGAATTATTTCAAATTTGGCATTTGAAGTTCGTAATGGGTACTACAACCTGTGGCAAAAAATTACGTTTGATGGTTCACGTCTTCGTATAGCCCCCATATAACGGTACCTCCCGATATTCGGTATTTTGATGATTTTAGCGACATTATTCACCGGAATTATTTCAAATTTCGTATTGGAAGATCTTAATGGGTACTTCAACCTGTGGCAAAACATTTCGTATGCAGGTCCACGTCTTCGTATAGCCCCCATATAATGGTACCTTCCGATGTTGGGTATTTTCAAGATTTTAGCGACATTATTAACCGCAATGAGTTCAAGTTTGGTATTTGAAGTTCGTAAAGGTTACTACAACCTGTGACAAAAAAAATTTCGTATGCAGGTCTTCGTCTTCTTATAGCTCTCATATAACGGTACCTCCCGATTTTCGGTATTTTCATGATTTTAGCGACATTATTTATCGTAATCGTTTCAAATTTCGTATTGGAAGATCTTAATGGGTACTACAGCCTATGACCAAAATTTTCTTATGGAGGTCCACGTCTTCGTGTAGCACCCCCTATAACGGTACCTTCCTATTTTCGATATTTTGGCGATTTAAGCGACATTCTTCCCCGAAAATGTTTAAAATTTGGTATTTGAAGTTCGTAATGGATACTACAGCCTATGACAAAAAATTGTCTGTGCAGGCACACGTCTTCGTATAGCCCCCATATAACGGCACCTCCTGATATTCGGTATTTTCATGATTTTAGCGACATTATTTTTCAGAATTATTTCAAATTTGGCATTTGAAATTCGTAATGGGTACTACAACCTGTGCAGGTCCACGCTTTTGTATAGCCCCCATATAACGGTACGTCCCGATATTCGATATTTTCATATTTTTAACGACATTATTTACCGGAATTATTTCAAATTTCGTAATTGAAGTTCGTAATGGGTACTACGGCCTATGACAAAAAAATTTCGTATTCATGTCCTCGTCTTCGTATAGCCCTCACATAATGGTTTTTCCGATATTCGGTATTTTCATGATTTTATCGACGAATTATTTCAATTTCCGTATTTGAAGTTCGTAAGGGGTACTACTTCCTGTGGCAAAAAATATTCGTTTGCAGGTCCACATCTTCGTATAGTCCCCATTTAACGGTACCTTCCGATATTCGGTATTTTGATGATTTCAGCGACATTATTCACCGGAATTGTTTCAAATTTCGTAGTAGTACCCATTACGAACTTCAACGACAATCTGTTGAAGAAACGTTGATTTTTTAAAGAATATTTTTTCAACGACCATCTGTTGAAGAAACGTGGATTTTTTAAAGAATATTTTTTCAACGACCATCTGTTGAAGAAACGTGGATTTTTTAAAGAATATTTTTTCAACGACCATCTGTTGAAGAAACGTGGATTTTTTAAAGAATATTTTTTCAACGACCATCTGTTGAAGAAACGTGGATTTTTTAAAGAATATTTTTTCAACGACCATCTGTTGAAGAAACGTGGATTTTTTAAAGAATATTTTTTCAACGACCATCTGTTGAAGAAACGTGGATTTTTTAAAGAATATTTTTTCAACGACCATCTGTTGAAGAAACGTGGATTTTTTAAAGAATATTTTTTCAACGACCATCTGTTGAAGAAACGTGGATTAGTATAGTCCCCATATAACGGTTTTCATTTAAGTGGTAATTTTGGAATTTTTTTTTGAAATTTTTCAAATTCCTTCCAAATGTTGGAAGGTATTGAACTTTCGGCTTAGATGTTTTTTTTACTTGTTTTGAGTGAAATTTCGAATGATTTAACTAGACTAATTTCCCTTTCCCCTCCACCAAAGATTTTATTTCTACGTCCCTTAAGATTTATATATCTGTTCTAAGCTGAATTATATTGCACCCACCTTCTCGACAAATTATGAGGAGCTTCTAATCTTAGTGTGACGTATTAGATTAGTGACGTAGGTGATTAGTTTTTATTTGAATTTTTTATTTTTCAAGTGAAATTTCAACATTTCTACCTGTGTGTAAGTGTTGTGTTGTGAATTATAGAAAACGAAAATATCCCCACTCCTCTCTCTCCCCAAACAAAAGAATTGTGACATTCTTCAAAGTGGCTGCGAAATGTTTTCTCTGCTGTTAAAAAAGAAATACATT